CTGATCTCAGACTGACTACGGCGGAGAACCGGGAAGGAAAAGAAGATGGGGAGCGTTTGATACGTCTTTGAATCGCAAAATACCTTCTTCCTCGGAAAGCTTTTCTCCTAGTCTTGTAAGTTTGGCTCTCAGCTCCGAGACGGTGATGACGCCTCTCTTCTGCCTGTCTATCATGGACAAGGCCGTGAGGATTTCCTTCTCGGGTTCCTCCTGCTTCATTTGCCTGTACATGATGTTCAGGAAAGTGGAGAAATCCAGCTCGGCATTTCTCTCTGGAAAAGTTAAGAGCGGGTTCTTCAGGACGGCTCAGTTCAGTAGTCTGGATCCAGACCCGAGCATCCCCCTCCTCTCCCCGCCAGTTCCCCTCCTGAGGCCCCTTTTCCCTTTTGCCTGGACCAGGGTGGGCCGCTGCAGGGGGCTTTCTCCTGGCCCGAAAACCCATTCAGAGCTTTGCTAGACTTGTGCTCTGAAACCTCGAGTCCAGAATTTTTTATCCAGCCCACCTTATCTCATGATTCTTTGGTCATTGTGCTGTGCTTTGAATTTATCTACACGTATCTGCAGATGACTACCTTTGCTGGTCGGACTGGATGGTTCCCAGCCTCAAAATCCATAATCAATACGTATGCCTCCCGCTGCTCTTGAAGCTTTTCTTTTTTAATGGCGCTATTTTAATCTGTGTGCTGGGTTGACTTTGTTCGCCGTCAAGCACGTCAGATGAGGTTTTGGTGGCTGCTGTTGGTTATGCTGCATTGCCTGGGCTGTTTCACCTGAGGGCGAATATTATCTACTGAGCTCCAGGCAACCTCTTTGTCTTTCCATGTATTCTGCTGACGGCAGAAAAGTTGAATTTCTCCAACTGTAATCCAGTGTGTTTTATTCACGCCCTTTGCTTACCGATCTTGTGCAAGTGCAGGTGCCTCTGCGCCTCTCCTGGCGTCGGGCTGGCTCCCAGGCACCGCATCACTGCCATCAGGTCGGAGGCTTTTATCTTGCCTTTTTGTTTCTTGTCGTACAGGGAAAAACATTCCTTGAACTCTAATTAAAAACCAAAACTCTGTTATGCCATGTAAGATACATTGATCTACCAGTGACGCTGCTTCTCCCGTTGCCCGGTCGGGCAGCGCTGGTAGGGTTCCAGCGGGGATATTGTGTCTGGTTCGGGGTGTCTCGTTTCACGGAAGATGATGGACAAAGTGCCAAGGGCAGTTAAAATCCAGGCTTGTGCCTAGCTGAGCTAATTGGGGTCCGTCAGCCTAATGAAGCAAGTCTGACAGTGGAGTCAGGCTTCCAAATAGCTAGAATCGGGTTAAGAAGTATTTTTCTCTGCCTTCATGGGGGTGGGAGAAGATGCCAAAGGGATGAGCCTTAAGGAGCGGTGGAGGGTGCTGGTGTGGTCCCTGCCCTGGGCTGCGCGGGGTCTGGCGCTTGCCCCCGCCTCCGCTGCCACCGCCGGGGTTTTAATAAAAGACAAAAGCACCGGTAACGTCGCATTTGACGGTCTGCCAGCTGCGTCCCGCCCCTGCCGCCGCCCCCCCGCGGCGTCTCGCCTCCCCGTGGTCCTCGCCTGCCTGTCGCCCTCTCCCCTTCCCCCTCCAACACTGGCTTCGCAGTGTTCAAATAAATAAATCGGGGTTGGAGCTGACCTAGATAAGGCTGCCATCCCTCATCCTGCCCTCCCAGCCTGCTCCCAGCGCGGTGGCAGGCTCCGCTCAACGCCGACGGGCAAGTTGCGCTGCACAGGGACAGTCCTGTCCGCAGAGCAGCCGGGGGACAAACCCCCGCCTGTTTCGGTGCGACCACCCCCCTCCTCACCCTCTCCGTCCCTCACTGCAGGTGTGAGTGCAGGGTGCCAGGGCCCCGTGGGTGCCGTGGCCTCCCCTTGCCCCGGCCGCCGCCTCCCCTGCAGCAATCCTGCAGAGCGGCCGAGCCCAAGGGCACTGCAGATTAACAGATTTGCAATAATACTCTTATTTCAGCTTTCTTCTGCCGTTCTCGTAGCAAACCCTTCCTCGTTCCAGTCCGAGGCAGCGGTCCCCTATCCCAGGGAGACCCCCGGTGCCTCGCAATGAGAATTTGTACCGCCTGCACCTTCTCCTTCCTCCT